CTGCGCCTGTGTCTTTTTGTAGCCTATGCTTCAAAGATACAGCCTTGTAGTCAAGGTCAGGACTGACCTTCCGCTCCTCTCTCCCTCCTCTTTCCAATTTTCATTCTTCCTGGTTGGGGCAGTGAAGAAGAGGAGGAGGGCTCTGGTCAGACCTTGTCCTGGCACCCCTTCTTTTAAAGAGAGAGAAGGAGAGAGTAATAATGATCATAAATAGGCATTGATTTCTCTGATTTACGGGGCTGGCTTGGCGAGCTGCCTGTGTATTAAAGAGCGGGGCCACATCGAGGTAAATACTTGAACTGAGCACACCATCCCAAGTTCCTCATCTTCTCCCTCCCTCCCCTCCCTTAAAGATTGGATTGAACCGTAGACTTAAATCTCCCTCGGACTAGAAGGAAATACAAGCTACAGGAGTCTAAACAATATCGATCTCAAGCTCTTTTTGAGGGCAAAGGTCTCTGTCTTTTCCCTGGAAAGTCCTTTTCCTTGGGGGTGGGGAAAAGGCCGCGGGAGGGAGAGGATGGAGATGCGGGGGTGGGGGGGGGGAGCTGCATGGAAGCAGAAGGCATTTTGATGTGCAGGTCACATGTCTGCAGAGGGCTCGTTGTTGGGGCTTTTGGACTTGTGTATTGTGCCTGTATTTATTTAGGCTTGGGAGGTGCTTTGGGTAGGTAGGCTCCAACTGACAATCACTGGTTGGTGTTTGTGGGTACACGCAGGTGCCTGACTCATGGGCCCCCTAAGTGGGGCCACCCAAGGTCTAGAGGACTGTCTCTGGCTACCACAATCAGTCATAAGGGATGAAGCCACCTGGGAAGCCAATCTGCATCTCAGAACAGTTCCCTTCCCCCATAGCCCTCAGTTTGACCAAGGCACTGAGGCAGGGGTGAGCTCTGGCTGCTCCTAAGGATACATCAGGCTGAAGCTAGATGCACCATAAGAAGGTCTGTCCCAGAGCTGGGCCTTCTTAGGGGTGGCCTTGGATTTGTTCAATGGCCAGCTGGGCTGTTTCTTTGTATGCTCCAGACAAGCCATTCCTCTGGCAGTAGACGGGATATGATTTGCTCACCTGTATGAAACTGGGGCAAGACAGGCAGGAAGGCCATGCTTCCAGCAGCACCTCCCATTTGCTGTGTAGCCTGGTCTTGCTTAAGCTGAACATGACACTGTGTTCATACTGAAGACCATATTGGTCCCCCCTCCCCTGCCTCCCGGGGTTAGAGCAGTGTTCCAGCCCTCTTGAGGTCTCAACTCTCCCCTGGATCTCTCAACTCGGCTAAGACTCCTTAGCTTGATGACTTACAAAAAGAGGGCTTGCCCATGGTGTTGCACACTTTTAATCCCAACACTCACAAGACAAAGAGAGGCAGAAGGATCTCTGTGAGTTCAAGGCCAGCCTGGTCTACAAAGTGAGTTCCAGGCTGACCAAAATTACATAGTCATATTCTGCCTCAAAAATAAATAAGTAACAATAAGATAAGATAAAGTAAAGAGAGGGATAGCAGGGAGGCTCTGGGCGATCTCCCCCTCCCCTGTCCCCTCAAACATGCAGTCTTTTAATGAAGCCCCAGTCTTGGCGTGGTCCTCAGGAATGGTCAAATAAAAAAGGGGTCCTTTGCATGTGGAGAAAACAGATCCTGAGATGGAAAGGGTCTTTTTGACAAGTGGGAGGCAAAGTCCTCAGTCATGGTCTGTGTCCCATCAGGAGAGTGGTGTCAATGCACAAGAAAACATGGTATACACACACACACACACACACACACACACACACACACACACACACACACACACACACACAGGTTTCTACACATACAAATATGCACAAGTATGAAGTGTGCCCACGTGGAAAACAAATATACTTGGTTCTTATGTTCAAAGGTGTGATCACAGCAGGCATGGAGACACTACCAGGGCATAAGGTACTGGCAAACATATGGGCCAGCAATACCAGGACTGTGATGGGACACATACTACACATCCAAGTCCCAATGTGTGGGCTTTGTTCCTGGCCAGGGTAGGAAATAGCGGCCTCTGCATGGTTGTCACCAGGGAGTGCTGGGGCTGGGAGAGGTGGGTTGTTTGGGAATATGGTAGATGGGAGTCAAGGCAACCAGCAGTGAGGTCAGGTGGCTCTTCCCCTTTCCCCAGGGTCAAGATTCTCAGGCTCAGATCCCTACTAATAGTGGTTGTGGACTGAGCCTGCCCAACCTAGCTGGACCTCCTGGGGATGGGTCAGGCTGGAGAAGTGGGGGACAAAATGATGGGACCCAAGAATTTCTCAGAAACTCTGGCTTGTAGCTGGCCACACAGTTTACTTCCAGAGCACGTTTCTCCACTCAGCCTTTTGCCGCCACCCTGAAGATGGGACAGATTCCCTTCACTGTCACAGTGTCCAGAGTCGGAAGTAGGGTGCCTTGAAGGCATTTGTGGGATCCTTGGCTGGGAGGGTGAAGGACTGGGGTGAACCTTAGGAAAAACAAGACTCACTGTGGATATTTGAACACTCACCCACATCTCATCCTGAAGAGAATTCTCAGCAGCTACATACTCAACTTTAGGCGGTGGGGTGAGTGAGTTGAGGGGCTATTAGCTGGGTGAGACACAGTGGAGCCCCCCTCTTCCACAACCTATCAAAATTTAGAAACTAACACCAAGAATTTTCTTCCCGTCCCATGCAAGCACATCTATATCACTGATGAGGATGGAGTGGGATGGAGGAGGATGAGGGGAAGCTCTCAGCAAGCACTCCATTCCACCTGGTACCTGGAACTGAGATGCGGGAAGGAAGGACCCTCTTTGTAGAAGAGGAGCTCCAGGATTCAGAAAGCACAAGGATTTTGGCTTCCTGGGCTACCTTGTTGCAAATGGCTAGGATTCCTAACAGACAGTAAGCTTTTCCACAGGAGACTCCTTGGCCTTGGACTTAAGGAAACCTGGGGACCCTGGCTGCCAGAGCTTTCTAGGTCTTAGAATCTTCTGTGTCCGGCCAGATTTTCACCGCAAAGCACTGTGAAGGAGAAGAAAAAGCCACCCACTAACTTTTTCCCAGCTGGCCTCTCCTAGCCCTTTCCACCCCTTTTACATCTGGACATCTGGCAGAGCGGATTCAGGAGAGGGCATAGCAAAATTTTTTAAATTATTGTCAATATATTCACTACTTCCTGGTGGGTGATTGAATACATCTGACAACATTCAGTTCATCCAACCACACATGTTTCTTTGAGATAGGTATCTGTGTATTTATCTATATGACATGCCCATTTTACAGATAAGAAATGGTCACACTCAATCTTATTAAAGTTTACACTGCTGGGTCTTCCGCACAGCTAGAACCTGGCATTTGATAAGGAGCGGCGGTGGCTGCTTTTGTGGGGCTTTCGATCTTTAGTACGAGAAGGCTTCAGCTCTCCCCACCCCCATCTTCATACCTTCTCGAGATCGTAAGGAATGCAAGACCCAAGGCTCACATTAGCTTCCTGCCATCCCATCTTCTCCACCGTAAGCGTTTCCATCAGCGTCCTCTGCACCAGAGCTCGGACCAGGCCGGCTGAAACAGCCTGTCCTACCCCAGCGTCTTACTCCTTTGGCCACCCTCCAGTCCTCCGAGAACTGCCTGCGCTCCCCACAGTCATCCGAGGGCGCCGCGCAATGCATTTCTCGTCAGCACGGCCCTGGTCGCAGGCCGGGAGTTCCCTCTCCAGTGGGTGGGTGAAAATCAAAACTCTCTGAGGCTCCACCGAGGCCTCTGAGCGCTCCCGTTATCTCGGCAGGGAGCCCCTGGATCTGTCAGTTCAGCACGCGCGCGCAAGGGCCCTGACTCTGCTGGGGACACACTGTGAAAGGCCACCCGCGCCACCTCTCCTCCGGGTTGGGAGTGACACTCAGCGGGACGGCTCTAGTCTCCAGCCTGTCGGCTTCTTCCAGGCCGCTCTTCTTTGTAGGTTTTGGGTTGCCTTTGCCTAGTTTCTCTCTGAGGTTTCTTTCTGTAAGTTTGGGTCCCGTCCCTTCCTAATCCCCTCACTCCAAGGTCTCTGCTTTTGCGTCGTCGGAGGTCTCCCTCCTGCCTGCAGACAGCTTCTTCCAGCTTCCTCCGGCGGCTGGGACTAGGCCTCCGCTACCTGAAGCACGCCAGAGTTCCTTCGGTCACCAGCCCTCCCTCTCCAAGGGTCACTCGACCCAGCTCCTGAGTGTGCTCAGCTGTCTGAGTCTCGAAGATGCTCCTCTGGAGGTCCACTTCTGCGGCACTCTCCCTCCCACTCCCCATGTTAACGTGCGGGGACACGGCTCTGACCTTCAGTGCGGTCAGGCTGACCTGCTATGCTTCCCAGCCACCCTCAGCCCTCAGTTGACCCGGGTGGTGGTGGTTTCCAAGTGGGAGCCCCTGGGGCCCTGCCTGAGTGTAGTGAGAATCACCTTAGCGATCCCGCGGCTGCACAAACCGGGCCTGGGAACCGCGGCCAGGCCTGGAGTCAAAAGAGGTAGGGGGAGGGGTGGCCTTCAAGACTCAGGAAACTAGACTTTATTGGTGTTGCTGCAACACGTCCTGGCTGGACGACTCGCCACACTCTCCCCAACAATCCCCGACAGCCAGACCCCTGGCGGGCTCGGTCTCCTGGTCTCAGCCTCTGCCCGACCTCTGCTGGGCCCGCTTCAGGAGAGTGCTTGCTCGCTGCGTGGCTGGGGGAAGGGCTGTCGATCCACTTCAGACTAGGTGAGCGCTTCGGAAATCTTTCCTGTTCTTTTTTTTTTTTTTTTTTTGGCGGGGGTGGGGGGAGTGAAAGAGGTAGACCACCCTTGCCACACTTACCTCCTTTCGTCCCAGTAAAACTTTGCTAGGCAGAGACCTTCACATCTGTCTCGTGTTTCACTGGAAGTGTCTGTCTAGTTCTCTGGCGGGTACACCGGCTCCCGTATACAGGAGAAGTTTCCCCGCAGGTTCTGGGCTTACCTAGATTTTTTTTTTTTTTTTTTTTTTTTTTTTTTTTTTTTTTACGAACGGACTCAATTTGTCCCTGCAGTTGCCCATTCCCACCTAGGTCCTACAGAGAAGGGCACTGCCTTTACTGTGGGTTTCAGAGCCTGGCTGGATGCGTCTTTCCATGCTTTGCTTCCCTCTGATGGACTGAACTCTGCTCTTCACTCCTGGGGTCTTCCCAGCTGGCAGAGGCTACGAAATCTAGGAGGAAGATGGACGCAAGGGGGTGGCTAATCCCCCACCCCCTTCAGGCCTCTGAATTTCTTCAGGGATGACAGCTGCAAAGTAAAAAAGTTGAGTGTTTGTTCTTCCGGAGACTAGCCTGGAAGTGAGAGATCCCAAATATCTAGAAAATGCTGAGGAAACGGAGAATAGAAAGCTATCCGCTCCCGTGAGCCAAGTTCAACCCCAAACGGCAAACGTTGCCTGAGCTTCTTGGACGGAACTTCCGAATGGGGGATAGAACTCCCCCACAGCCACAGTGACAGCTCAGCACCCACCCACCCCCAAGAACCATCACCTCGCAGGAAAAAGTAGCCAGCCACAGGGTGGTTTGGGCCAGACGAGGCACTCCTTGGCAACTGGGTTCCTTGCCCTTTGCCTTAGGAAGGGAAAAGTTGCTGCTGTCCCCAACATCAGGTGGGCAAACCCTGGGCCTCTAGAGACGGTTCACTTCCATTCCTCCTGGGCTGGAGGCCTGAGAGCTTGACTGCTTTACTTTCCCAGGGCAAGCCGCAAGAGTCTTTGGATGTGGTCCACCCATCTGGGAAACTCAAGGCATGCCTGGCCACCTTCTGAGCTTCCCCAGGAAGGAGTAGGGACTCCCTTTTCCCTAGAGACCCTCTAGGGCCAGAGTGTCAATGATCATTACTTTAAATTAAAAGTCTCTCATTCCTTTCCCTCTAAGCTTCAACTTCGTTTCAGAGAATGAAGCGTGAAAGCTTTGATAGAGATTACCAATGCTTCATTTATTCCCGCAAATGGCAAACATGGCCCAGGAAAACGGAGCACCCTCGTACAAGCCCCTTGTCTTGGATCCTCAGCCATCTCAGCCTTCACAAGCTCACTTGGCTGTGAGATGCCCTGGGCAGGGAGAGCCTTGCAAAGTGGGCTTCCCCCTGGAAGGGAATCACGCAGTCCAGGGCTGAGACTGCATGCTGTAGTCACAGTGTAACTGCTGAGACCAGCGTGAGAGATGAAGGATCTGACACCAGGGAAGTGAGGAGGAGTGGGTCAGGGTGGTAGCTGGTCCTAAGAGTCACCAACTGCTCCGAGGCGAGTGTGACCACTAAGTGAGTCTCACTCCAAACCCACCTTACCATTCCCTATTTGTGGAGGAATCCAGGGAAGCCTCCTACATAATATATGGAGAGATAGAGACGGCAAGAAGACCCCAGGTCCACCTTCTGACCCATTAACATCCTATTCAGACCCCACACCAACCTCTGGGACCTTATGCTTGCTTGCTCACAAGGTTGAAACCACAGGGAGGCTTTCCTTTTCCTCCGTGGCCAACTTTTACATCTTTCCGAGTTCACACAGACCACCCTTCATGTCTGGGACCTCCCCCACCCCTGAAAAAGCTTTTTTATTTTGGCTATGGAACCTTCCAACCTTTGCTGTACAAAGCTCACCTGTGACCTGGACAGCAAAGCTTGCTAGGACCGTTTCTCAAAGAGGCAGTGATGGAGTTTTATTCTTTTGAGACACAGCAGGGAGGTTTGAAGCAGAAAAAGTTGGAGCCCCAGTGGGAGTTCAACCTTAAATTCCTTTGTGACACTGTGTTATTAACTCCAAGGCAATGACGTCTCCACATTCCAGTCACCTGGAAGCCCTTGTAATACAAAGATACCTTTGGGGGAAGGTGGCCAGGAATGACAAGCAGCCGTCCTTCCGGTCACTTTAGCCAGCTGGCAGGTTGTAAGGAAGTCAGAAGTGCTGCTTTGGTGTGAGGGGTTTGCTTGTCTCAATAAGATGTATTGCGGAAGTGAGTGTGAAAGTCAACATGGACCAAGGTGACATTGACCTATCTCCCCTAATTGTGCAGTTAGTGATTTGTCTACAGCTTTCAAGAAAATTTGACCTATTATAGTTTACAGTTTCGCTATAAAGGTCCTGAGTGGCCAAGCAGGATAATCTAAAATATTTTTGCAAATGAGGATCTAAGTGCCATCTTCAGAGTCCAAGTTTTGTCGTTGTTGTTGTTGTTTTTTCAAAGCCAGGTGTGATGACACATGCTTGTAATATCAGTGTTAGGGAGGTCCAGACAGGCAGAGCCTTTGGTTAGTCAGCTTAGACTACCTGATAGATCCTAGGCAAGTGAGAGACCCTGCCTCAAAGTAACAAGATGGACAGTGTCTGATGAACAATAGCTGAGGTTGTCTTCAGGCCTCCACAAACACAGGCACACATATGCATCTGTGTCTACACACACACACACACACACACACACACACACACACACACACACACACAGAGAGAGAGAGAGAGAGAGAGAGAGAGAGAGAGAGAGAATCTTTGAGAGCAAGAAGACCTCTACAGAGTCCAGAGAGGTCTCACCATAAGGGAAAGCCTGGTTGATGAATGAGGGGGTGTCACATGAAATGCATGGGAATACCCAGCACTGTATTGGGAGAGGAAGAATCAAGGTAGAAGTAGAGTTGGCGATCTTGTGAACTTCCTGAACTCTTGCTTGTTTTCATTAATTTCTCACTAATTTCAGTGCGAAAGCAGGAAAAGACAGTTGCCACCAAGCTTGACCACTTGAGTTTGATCCCAGGACCCACATGGTAGGAGAGACCAGATTCTCCAGGCCTGTCCTCTGACTTCTAGAAGTGTCCGTCATGGCATACTCATGGTCATATGCATATGCACACACAAAAATAAATGAATAAAAATGTAATAAAATTAAAATAATACTTCCTGCTGTTTTGGATTGATGGCCTGCAAAATTAAATGAGTTGAGGGGTTCAGAAGGTAGTCGATACTTCTTTCAAACCTAGAGAGTACCCCTGTGTCCAATGCTAGAGGTGCTGGACTGTGAGTTGAAAACAAATCACTTAGAGAACAAGGTTCAGACCCTAATGGTGACAAACACCCTTATGAGAACACCCCCTGTTCCCTCTCCACGTCCTTAGTCACTCAACATGATCTAAATAGAGTGCTTCTGAGTGGCAAGTTCGGCATTTGCTTGCCCACCATGGGTATGAAGTATCTCAGATGGTTTCATAAGCCTAATGCATTTGTGCAGTCCCTGTCTGGGTGTTTGGACTCCTGCACACAATAGTCCTAGAGTCTGCCTCCTAACTTCCATGAGGTCAGGGACTGCTCCCCAGGGGACCTTTGTGGGTTCCAGCTAATTGAATTTGAGATCTGTTAAACTGAAAAAGAAAGTGGGATTTTGGCACATCTACCTTAGGATATCAAAAGTTTCAAGGGCCAGGTTGCAGCTCAGTTAGAGTGCTTGCCTAGTGTGCACAAAGCCCTGGGTTCAATCCCTCGCACCTTATGAACAGGATGTGTTGGTGCACACTTGTAATCCCAGTCCTTGCTGGGGAGGGGAAGGAATGCTAGAAGTTCAAAGTCATCCTCAGCTACAGAGTAAGTTTGAAGCCAGCCTGAGCTACCTGAGATCTGGTCTCAAACAAATTAACTAGCTAGCTAACTAGCTAACTAGCTAACTAGCTAACTAGCTAACTAACTAACTAACTAACTAACTAACTAACTAACTAACTAACTGCTTTGGGAGTGAAACTTTTCTTCCCAGTTTCCTCAGTACACAAACTGCTGGCCAATGAGGAGAGCTGTGGATTCCCGGAACTTAAGGTGGCTTTTGCTTGCCCTTAACGGCTTCTTCTTCCTGTATTTTCCTTGGCAGTTCTCAGGTGATTCTGACATGTGTGCCTGTCTTTCGGATGTGTGTATTTTCTGGGGAAGTGTGGTGATAGGGAACATGCATTTCAGACATGTGACTTTTGGAGTGGGGAACTCAGGGATGGTTTATAGAGTGCCGTGTTTGTTCTGGTATCTTATAGAATTGATACAAACCCAGAGGGGCAATAGTGAACTTACTCCGGTCCTGCATTTGTCTTGGGATGTGGTTTTGTTGTTCAGTTACTATTAAGGAAAATATCATTTTAAAAAATCATAAGCATGCTGGGCATAGTGGCACACACCTTTAATCCCAGTACCCAAGAGGCAGAGGAGGGCACATCTCTGAGTCCAAGACCAGCCTGGTTTACAGAGTGAGTTCCAGGAGAGCCAGAGCTACCTAGTGAGACCCTGTCTTGAAAAAAACCAAACCAAAGCAAAGCAAGAATAAAAGCACAAGCATTACATTTCTATATGAGCACAACTTGGGCAGAAATTTGAAATAACATTCTACCGGGCCATTTTTCTGTTTAATTACTTGTAGTGAATTCACCGTTGTAGTTTATAAAATTTATGTTCTTGAAATTCTCAGCCTCTTCCTAGGATTTTTTTTATGCAGTCTATATGCATTGACAGGTTTCAGTGAAAATGACACAGGGAAATGGAAGGCACACAAGCTGCCATGGGGCTGTTGAGACGGCCCTCCCCCATTCTTCCTAGAGCAGACTGTAGACACGAACAAGCTGGTGGCCAGTGCATACAGTGGACCCTGTACCAACAAAGTCCAAGAGTCCGGTAGTCCGTAGGTAAGAGATGGGACTCCCTTCTAAGTACTTTTTATTTTGTTCTTCTGATTCCGTAGCTGGAATCCATACCTGTTTTATGCTAGGCAAATGCTCCACTACTGAACTACGTTCTCCACTCTGTAATTTTCTTTTAAAATAAAGTGGGAGCTGGGGAGATAGAGCAGTCAATAAAGTGCTTGCCTTGCAAGCACAAAGACCTGGATTCAATCCCCAGAACCCACATAAAAGGAAGAAAGAAAAGAAGAAAGAAAAAAAAAAAGAAAGAGCCCAGTCTGGTGGTTTTTTTCTTGTTTCATAATCCCAGTGCTGGGGAAGTAGAGGTGGGTGGAGTCCTGAGGATCTCGCCCACCAGCCTAGCCTGCTGGGCTAGCTCCAGGAAAGTAGGAGACCCTGTCTCAAGAAACAAGGTGGGTGGCAGCTGAGAAACAATACTTGAGATGTCCTCTGCTTGCCACAGAGTGGCAGCTCCTATACCCGTATGCCCATACACACTGGAACTTGGGTGAGTTTGTCCTCAGTGAACACTCTGAATACACCCCATGGGTACAGACTCCCTAAAGAACTGAGCTGCCTTTGAGCTGCAAAATGACTGTCTTGCCAGTGTTCAATCCAAGTCCATGGTGTGTGTGTGTGTGTGTGTGTGTGTGTGTGTGTGTGTGTGTGTCCGTCTGTCCATCCAGAGGTAGCAGTACTTAAGCAGAGACTGGAAATGAATTAGTTCAACTTCAAGGGTAGTTCCTTTCTTCTTATTTTTTATAGTCAAGTCTTTACCAAAGAGACCTGGCTTTTCATACTTAGGAACCTGAGACCACGAACTGTAAGCCTCTTTTGGAGGTCAAGAACTTCACACACATGAAGTCTAGACACCCCAACCATTGAACTGAGCAAGCCCCAGGACCAGCTAGATTTATGATAAACAACAACAGCAAAACAATTCCTGGATTACTTGACTCAGTGTCTTTGGCACCAGGACCAACAAGAGTTACTGTAATCCTCCCCACAATTTCTGAACTGTTTCACGGTTTTGTCACTGACATCCAGAGAGACAGTGAGTTCACTGTTCCTGGGGAGATTGTTGAGTTGGCAATGTGCTTGCCATGTATGTATGAGGACCTGAGTTTGGTCCACAGTACCCACACACAAAAAGCCTGAGATGCCTGTAATCCCAGTGCTGGGGAAGCAGAGACACGAGAGTCCCTGGGACTCTATGACCAACCAGTCCAGCCAGATTGGAAACTCCAGGTTCAGCACCAGGTTCTGTCTTAGAAATAAGTGGGGCAGGATTAAGGAAGACACTTGATGTTGACATTGCGCCTACACATGTACATGTACACACATACAAACACACGTGTACACACAACACACGTGCACACACACATGCACACACACTCATGCATACACACAAATACACATGCAAACACAACACACACAAACACATGTGCACATATACCAACACACATGAAGACATAACACACACAAACACACATGCACACACACTCATGCACACACACAAATACACCTGCACATACACCAAGAAAACAAAAGTTTATGCCACCACCAGACCATCTAAGCTCTGTCTATCATCTATCTATCTATCTATCTATCTATCTATCTATCTATCTATCTATCTATCTATCTATCTATCTGTTATTTATTCCTCTAGGGAGTCATGGGAGGCAAAAATAAAGAGTTTCTGGGAATCTTTATCTGGAGACCTAAGGCTGATCTTTTTTTAAAGCCGGAGTTTGCTGTTTAATAAATAAAACTTCCACATGTCAGACTGGGAGACGTGACGTTCACCTGAGTGGATAAAACATTCATGAGAGTAGCATGGGAGGATGCTTGGGGTGCAGCTCCATTCTGTTCCTAGATGGGATTGTAAGGAGGCAGGTGTCTCAGCTCAGATGTCAGGATTTCCAACCAGGCCTGGCCTTGGGAGAAGAGGTCCAAACTCCCAGGCTTGGGGACAGGGGTCCTCACCTTCCAGTTCTTCAAGAACCTGTTGGGTTGGCAGGAAATGAACCCAGACGATTTTATGAGGAAAGGAGGAGAGAGGTGACTTGAGCTTCTGGTGCTCAGTTCTGTTTTCATTTCCCTCCTTTCTGCCCTCACATCTGAGGGGAAAGAATTATGCTCCTGGACAACTGTCAGTCCAACCAGCAAAGTATGGCTGGCCTCTAAAAAAGAGAGCTGCCGGTCTCTCTTTGTCCTAGGTTGGGAAGGCCTCCTGGTCAATAAATACATATTAATCATGCGCGAGAGAATTGATATGCAAATGAAGGGCACCATTGACAAGCCCCGGATGGCAGAGGGAGAGGCCCCCCCCCAACAGCTGTGGTCCTGCCTGGAGAAGCCAGGGCTATGCCTGGCCATTTGTTGGGTGTTTTCTAAGGGCCAAAACCTCCTTTCCCAATAAGTCGGTGAAAGAGGGAGCTGGCCCTGGAGGTGACTTCAGGATCTTTTGCTTACACGTTTCTTAGCTCTGCCAGCTCTACAGATTCTTTTTTTTCAAAAATTAATTTAAGTCTGGCAGTGGCAGGCCACCCTTTTGGATCGCTGTGTCTCGGCCCAACTGGAAGTCTCCAAAGGTACTTTGTTCTTGTGATCAAAGAAAAGTTGAGCCAACCAGAAAAAGAGTTAAAAGCTTAGGTGCATTTTTTTAGAGGAACGCTTGATAGTGCAGGAATAATTATTACCTGCCATTGTGAATTACTGCTTATAAAACAGCATGCTGTGTATTGTTGTGGCTTTCTATCTGGAACAGGTACCTCCAAATAACCTTGGTAGAGGCAGGACTACGCTTCAACTCAGTGTTCGGAATGCCTGACACCTGTGGGCACAAATACTTCATATTTTAACCTACGGTGGTAAAATACGACTTTGTTAGGGAATAGTCTGATGTTATAAAAACAAAACAGATGCGTTATGATTTGTACCCAGCAAATCATTGCAGTGAATACAGTCACTTTATCTATCAAAATCATTTGGACATAAACTGTTAACACTGGTGATAGACCAAGATGCTGTGTATGTTGAAATAGAAATGAAGAGTATTATTTGTGCCCACAGATGACCTAGCTTCAGTGTTTTGCTTAGGGGTATGGATGGAGTTTCTAAGAGGTGGGCAACTGGATTTTCTATGCTTTAGGTCCTGAGTTCTGTCTCTGAGTTCCTATCTGGGAGACATGCATTGTAACTTTAGAACCGGACCCTGTTGGCTTTGGTGATACACCTTGGACCACGAGTGTCAAAATGGACCCCGGTTTGGTAAAGACCCAGGCTGTCTGGTGTTCTGGCAAGTCAGGTCCTAGAAAAAGCTTTTGGGGATGTGCAAGCTGGGCCTGGTGGCTGTCTTCCTTTGTGGCCTCTGTCTGATCTGACCTAATGCTCTCCAGTTCAATATAGGACATTACCACACAACCTGAAGGGAACAAATAGGAATATAAATATAAGAGAAATGTCTTCTTCTGCAAGAAACAGTAACGGGGATAGTTGTGAATTAACTGTCTATGATCACGTGTAGACTCAGCCTTTTATGTATTTTGGGTTATATTAATCCTGATCAGGATACTGCCTTGCCAAAACACTCGTGTTTTCATTCTAAATCCACCGTGATGTTCTTTGATAGAGGTGTGTTGATCTCAAAACCCCACAGCCTGTTCAAAACTCAAACACAGACTCTCCTAAATTCCTTCCACCAACGTATGATGCTTAAAGCATTCTGCTAACATTCACCTAGCTTCTAGATGGATTGAGGATTACCTGGAATTGGAATGCAGCAAACCTGTTGTCTGTTGAATTTCTCGGTGTGCGTGTTTGTGTGTGCACACAGGGAAAGGGGCTGCTACCAGAGATAAATTATTTAACATGATTTTCCTGTATTGTGGAGAGGGAGGCTGAGCCTCATTTTTCGGATTATGATTTGTGTTATGAAATGCTTATCAAATGTTTTCCAAAGATTAGTTTAATTTTAATTAAATAACCCTTTCTCAAGAGGAGACTCCCAACTATTCCTGTACCCAGAGGCTAACGTACTTGTTGTTTTTAATTATTTTGTGCTGTTACCCAAACTGCTTTGGGTACTCCTGCCCAATTAAATGAAAGGCCCAGGTTCCTTATGCACAATATGTTTAATATTTAATTTTAATTAAATTAATTAAATTGTTTATTTAATTTTATGTGCATTATTGTGCGTTGAATAATGTAAAATTCATGGGGTGGAGAGGTAAATCGGAGAGCTTCCAAACAGGCTCGTTACAAGGTTTCTAGGAAACTTCGTTCTCGTTTCCAGGGGAGCTGTCCTAACACTGGGCAATGTGAACCGTGAACTTCTTTCTCTTCGGCGTCCTTCTGCAGTAGCTTCTGGGGTTTGTAGGTCTCCCTCACCCGGTGCGGCTGGCCTTGCAGTCTGCAGATGTTTGCAGCTGCTTGGCAGAGGCAAGAGTGTGTGTGCATGCTGCTGTCACCGTGGAGACATTGTCTACTCTGCTAAGGACACAGCCACCAGCACAGACACTCCCAAGAAGGTCACTTTTTTTTTTTTTTTAAACACAGACAGGCCTTGGTAAAACTCCCAATAACATCTTGCCCTGTAGAAACAGCCCAAGCCAGCAAGGTTTCAGAAACCCATCCAAGGCTGAGCATAAACTCCAGCAGGTGTGTGTGTTGGGGGGTGGGGGTGGGTCTTACCTTTGGCCTGGATCTCCTTTCACAAAAGTGGTCCTTGGCCTGGTTCACTCTCCAATTTTCATCCTAGTTTGCCTCTGTAGGACACAGAGCACCCAGGAATGCTTTCCTGGGCAGTGATCAGCTTACTGTCTCTCAACGGAGGGGCTTAACTCCCAGGGAACCTGTTTTCACAGAAGTGGGAGGTTAGATAGATGCAAACAATAAAATAACAAAAATAGAGACCCTCCTCTAATAATACTCCTTTGCCAAAGCTCACATCTGAGTTTGTGAAACACGAGCCTGGAGTCAGAAGTTCTGAAGTGCCTGAGCTGAAGAAGCCACTGAAGCCTCTTTCCTGTTTACTGACTAGCCCTAGCGATGGCTCAGAACAGGCACTCTCAGCATGACCTGGCTTTGGGGGCGTCTGAACCGAATTTCTACACTTGACCTGCTGGCGCAGAGTGGAGCGTTCACTGAATTCCTTTTCATCTCGAGGGTTTGCTCATCTGGACCACGGCTGACTACTTACACCTCTCCTCACTTCTACAGATTTTGACAGAGTAGATCGCATCTTTCTGGTGCCTCTTGCTTATTGAGACGTGTTAACTGCATTTAAGGAACCTTGATTAACTCAGCCACGGGCAAAACACACAGAGAGGGAGAAAAGAGAGAGGGGGAAAACTGGGGAAGAAGGACAGGAGAAGGGAAAGGAGAGAGAGAGACAGCGTTCTTAGGCTTGTCCTGGTCCTTCCCAGAGTCCTTTCACAGACCGGAGCTGCTAACATGTAAACTGCTTTCTCTTTACTCCTGTTTGTTTTTTCCCCCTAAGGCTGGTTTTGTTTCAGTAGATTAAATATTATCATAAAAGTAGCTGGTGATGCAGTAAATTAAAAATCAAGTTGTGGAATATTTTGCAAAAGCTTTTTTTTTTTTTTTTTAACTTCTATGGCCCTTAACCAGTCACGGCAAACATTAGTTTAAATGGATTTTCCCAGACAGGACTTTCTGCTTCAAACAAGGGTTTGGAAAATTCAAAGCAGCCCAGTTAGATGGAATAGACCTAGTGAAAAAGCAACTCGGAATTTGATTAGAGGGTAATGATTACTAGTGGTGCTTCCAACAACAACAACAACAACAACAGTAACCAAACAGAACCCAAACCCCTTGCTTTCTGTTTATTTGGCACATCTGTAAGCTTATGGGCATGTTTAGTTTTTAGTGTAAATTGTAAGGCTGGAGAGCTGGAGGAAATGTACGTGAGGACAGATGGAGTAGAATCCAGGGCAAGGCTGTGCCACCACATTTAACATCAAATTATGAATTAAACAAGAAGAATGAATAACAAATGAGGATTCACTTAAGCCTAGCTTTGTGCAGCAGGACAATGAAAATTTATTCGAATGCTATTCCTTGATGAGGCTACAGAGTTTTCCCCGGCAGAAGGTACCCATTAATACTGTGAGGACAATTATTGGAAGTTCATTTTCTGGGCACATCTTAGAAACCTTTTGACGACAACAGAAATGTCTGTGCAGATTTAGATTTTTCTAAACCCTCCCCTAGTCTACTCAATGACTGCCCTGGAACTCCTCGTTGTTGAGGTGATTTGTTGAGCGTGTTTTGGTAGGGGTTATCAAACAGGTTAAAATCGAGTTTTGGGGGAAGGTTTTGTTTTGTTTTGTGACTGTGTGGGGGAAATTATTGAACACTTGACTGTTTAGGACTTCTGCAACACGTCAAGGAATGGCAGGCTCCTTGCAGTCCAGCTGTTTGCTGAAAAAGACCTCACTTTGCACAGCCAAGTGCTTTTTCACAAGTACAGCTCCTCCCCCCCCCCCCCCCCCCCCCCCCAGTCACAACCTGGAAATGAGGCATTCTGGCCTGGCTAATGCCTTCCCCACATGCTGAAACACTGGCGAAGAAAGGGAAGGTGTCTGGGATATGAACTAATGGAACAGACAAGTTTGGATATACTAGGAGCCATTTCCAGTGTTGCTGGGTGTGAGGAAACTTTTCAAGCCACAAATATAACTTACGGTATATCATCACTCTATGTGTATTGAGACAAAACAAAGAAACATAATAAAACAGACAGCAATATACAGCCTGCTTATGCCTAAGGTATTTGGGGAGACTGAACAAGACGCTGTCCAACATGATGGATGGTTCATGTAGGTAGACGCTGTATCAGAGTGATGCTCCTTATTACAATTATTATTATTTATAGATAGAATTTTTGGGGAGGGGAACAGATGGCGCATGTGTGGTGGGGGATCAGAGAAGAGCTATCGAGAATCAATTCTTTCCTTCTACACATGGATCTGGGGGTAGAGTTCAGGTTGTCATGCTCAGTGGCAAGTACCTTTACCCACTGAGCCATCTTGCTGGCCCTTATCATCGCTATTTTTAGTAATAATAAAATTTTTATTTTCAAAGGGTTTTAGATTTTTGAGAAGTTAAAAAGGTAGCTGTCTTATTTTTTACTGTCCCCGTGCAAAGGTTTGCGACCTCCTCGGTTCTTGCCTCCGGCTCCAGACAAGAGGAGTCTTTTCCAGGAGATGTGGGTTTGATCGAGCTTCTGGAACATTCTTACCTCACAAAATCTCATAGAAAGTAAAAAAAAAAGTGCCGGGGGAACCAGCTCAGTCAAAAGAATGCTCGTCCAGCATGCCCAAAGTCCTGGATTTCACCCCTGTTCTATCGTAAACTTCGTGAGATGGAAGCAGGAGGATCAGAAGTTCAAGGCTATCCTCGGCTACTTAGGGATTTCAAGGACATCCTGAGGACAAATGAGATCGTGTCTCACAAAGACGGAAGGAGAGAGAGAGAAAGAGAGAAAGAGAGAGAGAGAGAGAGAGAGAGAGAGAGAGAGAGAGAGAGAGAGAGAGAGGAGAGAAAGCATGAAATGAAATAAAATAGTAGTTAAATATGTTCAACTAGTACGTTGTAAAATTAAAAAAAAGAAAAAGCCCAGTTTGGGCTTTGCATTTTTTTAAAGTTTAGGCAGCTGCTTTCTCGCCTCTTTCTTGCTCCTGGCCTGTTTGCTTTTCTACAAAATGAGCGTTAACTATAAAATGAGTGCCACCGTGCTCTGTGTGCTCGTGACACCTTTGAGATTTTGATAAAAACTGGGGCAAAATCCGGAGCCTGTTTTCCTTCCCCCACCGTGGGCCCTTCCCCGCCCCGTCCTTGGAAGATTCACTCGGCTCCAAGGCCAGCCCGGTGCCCTCCGTAGTTATTCCGTTCTGTGCCCTTGAGCGGTAGGCAGCTAATTTCCTGCGTTTGGTTTCATTTCAAAATGGGCTTCGTTTTGAGGAGTTGGGGGCTAGGGAGGTAGAGGGGAAGGAGGAAAACCGTCTTGGAAATACATCACCCTAAGCAAAACCGTTTGGCAGAGGTCTTCAAGGATGGCCGACCCCCTCCTCAGGCTGCCTCTGCCCTACCTGCCCAGGCCCAACATGCTAATTACATTCAGGCCAAAGGCGGCAGGCAGCACGGGCCTGGCTGCGGTCCAGAGGATATTTTTTTATTTTATTTACAGATGAGCTGTTCCCCCTGAAATCTCGATTGTTCTGGAAGCTGGGACCGAAGGCAAGCCAGCCTCCATTTTCAGCAGCTCCGGCTCAGAGCTGGAGCAGGGCTTGCCTTCATTAGCTGTATCACAAGCCGGCAGGCCTGGAGAAGGGGCAGCCCAGTGTCCTGAAGCCTGCTTCCAGACTTTTCCATCAGAGGGGATGCCGTCCACCTTCGCAGAGCCCTGACAGAGTCCACTACAGACTCCCATGTCCCCTGGTGCTCCCCAGGTGGGCCTCAGAAGTTCACACCTGGGGTTGTATCCAACCCATCCCTTCCTCAAGCAATGGCAGCCCTTATTCCTGCCTACTGAAATTGCATGGGCTTTCTTTTAAAAATCTTTTTTTTTTTTTTTTTTTTTTGGTTTTTTCGAGACAGAGTTTTTCCGTGTAGTTTTGGAGCCTGTCCTGGAACTTGCTCTATACACCAAGCCTGGCCTCGAACTCACAGAGATCCTCCTGGCTCTGCCTCCTGAGTGCTGGGATTATAGGCATGCACCGCCGCCGCCGCCGCCGTCACCACCCGGCATAAAAATCCTTTATTTTTTAACATTTACTTATTATTTATTTGTGCGTGTGAGTGCTCTTGCGCATGTGCATACCAAGGTACACAGGTAGAAGTCCGAGGAAAATTAAGAGTCGGCTCTCTCAACCACGTGTGTCCTGAGGTTCGAGCTCAGGCCATTAGGCTTGGTGGCCTGTGCCTTTACTCATGGAGCTATCCTGTTGCCCCTGAAACTATTTTAAGAGTTAGTTTACAAACAGACTGAGGCACAGTGTGTGAAGTTCTAGCCATGCAAGCTCGAGGACCTACATACAAAACCAAGGGTCTCCCACCCTCAGTGCTGGGGAGCACGGTGTCAGTGAAGAGTCACTGGCCAGCCTATCAGGCTGAATCCATGAGCTCTGCCCTCCGCTGGAGAGCCTGTCTCAGGGGAAAAAAAGTGGAGAGTCACTGAGAAAAACATCCTTGACCTCTGGCCTCCACATACACATATGTGCACACACATTAACATGAACAAATGCATATAGCACACACACACATACATGCTCTCCATAGAGTTCACACACATGCCCCCCTCCGAACACATGAAAAGGGTCTTGTTATTTTATGTTTGAACCTCACTTTTCCTCAAAACAGCATTTTCCAGCCTGTGACCATTCACCTTACTCATCATACTTGGCTCAGTACCTTTCGGCTCTTTCCCAGGCTTGCATCCCGGAACTTGCTCTGTCATCCTGGCTGTTCAGAAGGGTTCACAGGCTTCCAGGAGAGTAGTGAAGGGAGTGGTCAGGGCAGAGGGAAGAAAATAAACCTAGAACTCCCAGGGTGTCTCACTGGGAGCGGACAAAAATCATTTGGGCCTGAGAGTTCTGGGTGGAAGCTGCATTCAGGAAATATTGCCACCAGACCTGACACACGCCATCCCACCCACCCTGAGAACTAGCTCCAGTGGGCGCTGGTGAGCTGCTGAACACTTTCTGTTTGAATTTCAAGGCCTGTAGGGCAGGCTTATGGGACTCAAAAGGAGCCTCCCTTTGAAGGGTGGTAGAGATGAGGGAACCAACCAAAAAAAGCTTATAGCTTTTTATGCTTTGTACCCAAGTCTTTCCTCTTTTTTTTTTTTAACCCCCTCCCCCTCCTTGAGACAGCATTCCACGCAGCCCAGGCTGTCTGGAACTCACACAGTTGAGGATGACACTGCACTTCTGACTCTCCCTAGTGCTGAGATTACAGGCGCGCACCACCATGCCCAGTTTATTCTGTTCTGGAGGTGGAACCCAGGGCCCTGTGCAGGACTGGCAAGCTCTCTACCAACTGATCCACATCTCAAGGACAAATGGGGACTCTGGATGGAGGGAGCCAGTCAGGAGGGCAACAGAATACTCCTCAGCATTCCTGAGTGAGCATGGGTAAACCAGGAGCTCCCAGGACGATTTTGGGAAGAAAAGTGTGCTTTTTTGACCTTTGAAGATGGTGTTTAGGGGCCGGGGAGATGGTTCAGTTGTTAAAGTGCTTGCTCTAGAGGCTTGAGGACGTGAGTCTGGACCCCCACCCCACCCCAGCACCCACGTGGAAGTGAGAGTGTGGCGGTGAGTGCCTGTAAGACCAGCACTGGGAAGGAAGGGAGAGGCAGAAAGATCCCTGAGACCAGCTAGCCAGTCA